ATAAAGGGATCTGTACAGATACTACAAATAAACTCCTGTTCCAAATGATCTTCATCAACATATGTAAACAATGTCGAATTGAGATTGTCGGGTGAGGATTTTTCTATTGCAGCGCGTATGACATTGTGGGTGATTTGGAACAGGAGTTTATTTGTAGTATCTGTACAGATCCCTTTATAGATCCAGGTATACTTTCCTTTTCTTTTCCAAAACATATTTTTACTAATATTTTTCTTCAGTGTCACACTCTTGTCTAAACACTTTTTGTCGTGGATGTGTCAAACAAGTGACCACATGCCCCCTGTGCAGAGGTTCGATCGACACATTACAATCAGCACCAAAGGCATTACAAAACATGCTAGACCGACTAAAAATAAATTGTGTAGCATGCGGTGAAGAAACTATACGAGGGGAGTTTATCAATCATCAAAAGATTTGTCTGGAAACAAATGGTGGTTCGTTGAAGGAAGAACCAGAGGCCAAAGACACTGGAGACGTAACCTCAATTGAGCTAGATCCTACTATTGATCGACAAGCATTCGTGTCAATCTTGGAATTTTTGTATTCGGGACTACCCGTACTTCAAAGTAACAACTTGGAAGAAGTCCTGCGAGTGGCACACTTGTTTGATTGTCAAGAACTTGTGACTATCGTTAAAAACATACAAAATGGCGAGGAAGATTTGAATCCGTCAATTGGAACATGGCTGAATGATACCACAGGAGAACGAATGAAAAAAAATTTCCTTAATAAATCTAAATACTGCGATGTGGCATTCAAGCTGGATAATAATTCAATCGTATATGGTCATAGAGCAGTATTGGCAACTCGATGTCATGTGATGAATCGAATGTTGAATGGCTCCTACAATGAAAAAACAATTCTGGAACCTATACACATCACTGATACTAGTGCTAAATGTTTTTTAGCATTATTAGAATATTTGTACTCAGATCATGCACCAATTGAAAATTCAGATGGTATAGGGATTCTGAAGTTGGCTCATCGATTTGGTGTATCTCGATTGGTAACATTATGCGAACTATACGTCTCGAAAAGTGTTGAAGTATCGATCGAACGTGGAATTCTAAAATCCGCCATGAACGTTATTGGTCTCCTACTGGACGCTCAAAAACACAACGCCAATCAACTGGCCGATTTTTGTCTGCATTTTATTTCGCAAAACTATGAGCCAATGAGTAAAAGATCCGAATGGAATTTGTTAACGGGCAGAAATCTAGAGTTTATTGAAAAACATCGATGGCCTCCATTGTCTTATCTTCAACAAATCGGAGAATATGAGAAGATGGTGGCTGGAACAGAACACAGTGATAAATGTAGGATCATGTAAAAGATCTACATTATCTCTCAAATGTAAAATTTAAAAATATTCTGGGACTTTTTATTACTATATATTCCAATAGATCGAGCATCTGGGTTTAAATAAAACAATTAAAAATAATTAAATTTGTAAAACCTACATTATCTTCCACGCGTATCACTGTAAAAAATAACTAAAAGGCAAAAGGTGAAAAAAGTAGAATAACGCATGATACTAGTGCTAAATGTTTTTTAGCATTATTAGAATATTTGTACTCAGATCATGCACCAATTGAAAATTCAGATGGTATAGGGATTCTGAAGTTGGCTCATCGATTTGGTGTATCTCGATT